GGGATTGGGGGCGTTATAATGTGACGGTCACGGCTGAAAGGGCGAGCATGTTTGGTGTGACAGGGATTCGAACCCGCGAAGGTTGGTGGATAATGTACGAATTTTTAGCTAAGTGTTTAGTTGAGAGAATTACTCTGAGGGAAAAATTGCTATACCAAAAAATTTATTATTTTTATTTTATAGGATTAACTACTCAAGGTTGACGAGAGTCAGAAAAATATCGTATTTTCGATAAGGTATGATGAAAACATTCTGTGAACACTATCGACCAAAGACATCTATAAGATATTCCAAACGTTTAGTTCCATAAGATTATTATTTTCATGGTTCTCTTAGTGCAAGGTTACATAATGTAACCGTGGGGAATCGAACCTCAAATCTTCAGCGTTGCAAGTTCGTAAATTTACCGCTTAACCAGTTGAAAGAAATTATATTTTCATAAGTTTTGCTCAACGAGTTGTCCCTATGGCCCAGACTTTTTATATTGTTAATAGTTTATTGGCCCGGCATGGCCAGGTGGTTAAGGCACTCGACTCGCAATCTGAGAGCCCAATCTATACATTAATCACCAATTCAATCTATACATTAATCACCAATCCAATCTCTACATTAATCACCAATCCAATCTCTACATTAATCACCAACCCAATCTCTACATTAATCACCAATTCAATCTCTACATTAATCACCAACCCAATCTCTACATTAATCACCAATCCAATCTCTACATTAATCACCAATTCAATCTCTACATTAATCACCAATCCAATCTCTACATTAATCACCAATCCAATCTCTCAAAGTTCTTAAAATGGACTGAAGTATTCTTTTAAACTTCTTGATATTAAAGTAGATATACTAGTCCTTATTAAACTTCTAAAAGTCCTTTTGGAACATGGCTTTTCTCAATGTAAATGACAAAAACCAAATGAAGTGTTTTTTTCATTGTTGCTGTTCGGTTTGACAGAAAATCAACAATTATTATTTATTATTAATTGCAGAGTTCCCAAACCCGGCTACTTATCAAAGGAGGGAAGATTGTCAATGATGATTTAATGTTTGATGGTGATGTCTATCTAGAGGATGGAATTATTAAGTAAGTTCAGAATTTCTGACTAGTCTACATCTAATTAAATTAAAGCGACACTTCTGCGATATATAAATAATTTATTAACAACAGGAACCAGCCCTAAAAGACTCTACATGATCGGTGTCCTGAAGATGGTGACGTAACCCCCCCTCCCCAATACATGTAGTCTTTTTAGGGCTGATTCCTGTTTTTTTTTATAAATTATTTATTGTGCAATTAATTTAACGTTGTACTTCTTTTAATTGTGTATATGTATATTCTACATCTAGTAAAATTTTGTAATTTGTAATTTGTTGAATTTGAGTTTTTACAAGAACCATTTAAGATTCTTGATAGTGGATCATACACTGGGATATATTAATTGTTTTATTACTTTAGAAGGTGCCTTGCTCATGTTGAGCATGCAGTGAATGTGTAGTGTACAGATACAATGATGTCCGGCGAGTTCAAATACCCGACAGATTCCGGAAGCGTTATGCAGATAATAAATTGAATGCAACAGGAAAGTGGAGAGAGAGAGAGAGAACTAGCAGACACAAGTGAACAAATAAACTCGGTTTTCATTCCCAAATATTTGAAATACTGTACTGACCACGCTCCAGTTGCTGGAGTGAAGGACAAAATTAAGACGAAACCAAAAGACCGAGTTATGTGGATAACTCGCTTTTATAATTGGACCAAAGTACTTAATGTGGTATCCCACAGTTTCCCAAGTCACATACTTTAATCACTATTCTAACAAACCTAAACCAGCTTGTACAGGTTTCCTGTATCGTCTGTTAGGAAAAATTCTTAGATGTCATACAGAAACTTATACATGCTAGCTTGAAGCCTACCAACTAAGCTTGCCATTTGTAACCTTTACCTGAGTAAACAGATTAGCGCAGGTTTACGACCTCCTACTTTACATAATCACATCAAGAACGCCAGCTTGAGAATTTATGATAAGTTATTCTAGATACCTTACTGTAAAGTTGAAATTAACAACTGTTCCAACAGTGATAAAACCACTCCTTTCTTAATTAATGAGACATGAGAAGACAAACTTGTAAAGTTTTATTTTGTGTAACGTTTCGGGCAGATGCCTTTCGTCAGGCAGGGGCGTTGAGAGCCATCCCAGGCCCCTAGATCAGTAATATCATCGACCCCCCCCCCCTTTTCATTCTATCTATTAACTTTTGCGGATGTTTCATAAAATAAATTTAGGTGACAAATTTCTTCATGAATCCATAAAAAGGCAGTAGCCATTTTGGTTTCTAGTGAGCTTTGGAATATCTCACTGCCGGTCGAAAAGTAAGAAAATAATGAATGTAGCTAAGATAACAATAACTATGTTCAGAAATAATACTGAAATATAACTTGGGCAATATTCATCAAAGTTCAAAAATTGTTTCATGGTAAGAATTAAACATATTTCTAAATTAAAACTACTTGAAAACAGTAGGCAAGGTTTTTTTCTTTCACTTCAAACAAACAAGTAATCGTGATTTTACGTTATAAATACTGAGTTACAATTCATAAAATTCTCAGCTGTGAAATACTTCTTCACCAGTAAAAACAATGGCTTCACCACGTAATGTTTATCAACTGGTGTGTTGTAGGTTCTAAAGCAATTCTACGTCTTTCTTCCAGTGAAGAAATTACATTGTTACGAATATTCCATCTTGGGGTGAAACATTGTATATTGTTTACCTACACTAAGAAAACACAGAACATGTCTTGTATATTTGTACATGCTGTCTCCGCTAGTCACTGCGATCTTTCATAAACATACTATATCTTGATATTTCAAGACATTTAAGACTATTCTGATGTAGTTAAACCAATACTGTGAGAATTTGTATAGAGAACTCTCGAAGAAGCTACAACCCAAAAATGTTAAGTAAATATAAAGTTT